AACGATTCGACCCGATTTGATTCAAAAGCAACATTTTTACAGCGAACATACGACTTCATCTTGCCCTCAAACAGAGAGGGGATCGTGTTCTTCACCTGAAACAGCAAAACTGCACAGCTTCACATTTTACTGTTCCGGGCGCGATTCAAAGAATATCATCTCGAGACAGGCCCTTAAAAACAGTTGCTGCGATAAAAAATCTAATTTGCAAACTGACATTCGGCTACCAAAACTACTAGCGACCGCCAGAGAGGCTCTGCGAAAATCCGATGTTGCCGGTGTTGCTACAGTGTATCAACACTTCAGGCACAGCCATGCTTCTTCAGGCACTTCAGGCACATCTCTCAACTCTCAGCTGCATGTGTGCCCGCACAAGCTTTCCCAAAGCAGTATGGCCATCGTTCTTCTGCACGTACCACTACTCACTGATAAGCAGCATCCATTAACTGTCAGCAGGGCATGCAAGAAGAGGTCCATTTTCCTGCTTGAACGCCACAACACTCCGTATATCGCTCCCCGGGCCCTCTGTATTATCACTCAGAGACAATTTACGCTTTTGTCCATCAGTAGAAGCCAACGTTGGACTCTTTCGCTTCCAGTTCCACAATCACATTCCGTTCTCGTAGGGTTTCAGCACATAACGTATTATGAAAAAATCGGCTAAGGCTGTCAAGTCTGCGTGAATCGACAGCCCCCCTCGACAAGCATTTTCCGGCTAGAGATCGTCTTCGCTGTATCGATTTTCAGGCCTAACTTCGTGCGTCCAACCTGTATTAGCATCTCTTTCTCATTATCAGCATTGTTCCGGATAAAAATTGTGTAATTCATAAAGCGCAAGCAAAGTGCAGTAGGAAGAGGCTTAGTTTAGAACATGAAAAATACCTGGAAGACAAAAATAAAAAGTGAAAAAACCTTAGTTTCGGACATTTTATTCTCCAAATTGTCCAAAAGAACTCGGCAAAGCTCCTGTACATCGTGCTGGTGAAACGATTCCACGCTGTCCCAGCCAAACGACTTAGTGAGCTTCTTCGTACCTACAGGTTTGTCCGAATTTTGCAGTTCGTAGAAAACGCGTTGCATTGCCAGAGCCACCGATGTTTCCGGGTCATCGTTTTCAGTGGGCATTTGATAGACGGCCTGAAATACCGGGCGAATAAAGAGACTAGAAGTAATCTCCACGGATCAGTGATGATAAAGCGGTGGCACACAAATATGCACGGAGAAAGAAGAGAGCAAACCTTCCTCAATTGATTGGTGAAAAAGAAGGTCTGCAAAATCGAATTCATATAGCATGTTGCACCCTGATTTTTGAGACCAATGAAGCCGGCGTGTTTCTTACTATCCCACCTAAATACACTAATACATTAAAATGCTCCAAAAAAAAACCCCCCAGTGCTTTATGCACACAATACAATATGTGCTATCCAAACACAGATGTTGATGCGTCAGCAGTTTACACAACATGTGATGTGTTATTCAACACGGGGCAGATAAAAATTTGCCAAATTTTTTCAGTGAAACGTACTGTACGCCGTGCGGAGCATCTGCCATAACAATTACTTCCAATTTGATCGTGTCATCTTTGATAAAACCACTGTCCGGGTTCAACAGAGTCTAAAAAATGCGTGTTTTTTTTTTCTAAAACTCCTTCTAACAAAACAAAAATTATGTCTCGATGCTCATAGCAGAACACACTGGATGCTACATTTAGAAGATGAGGAAATCCTCGTTTTCCGTACATACACACATGCATAAAGCAAAAACAGACACCCTTCAACTGGATGGTGATGAAGAACGTTATTGAAATTTTCCCGCTGCCTAATTCATTTCTAACAGGACATCAATTTTTTTTTTTTTTTTTATGGAATCTACTACGAAGACATCCAAATTCTGTGAATTATTACATGTAAGGAAGGAATGGAAACTCACATCGCATGGCAGGAACTGCGAGTAGCCCCAGTCATTTTCCTTGTGATAAAATGTATGGTTGATTCGACGCACATGGCTTTCGACGCCTGGCTTCTGCGCTCGAACGGTAAGAACAGCACTTGCCGTGCACGACCAGGAAATTGCTTCCGCTTCTCCGTTGCACTGCAGGAAAAACCCGAACGCACGACCGGCCGAACGGCGTTCATTTTGAAACTGCAATAACACTTCCTACTCCAGGAAAATGTGCTAAAAATACTGAAAAAAAAAAAAAAAATACATAAAACTATCGTGTTGGCGATCCAAGCTCTGCATAATCGGGCGCCAGAGGGAATCTGAGTGCCAAAAAGTGTTTAAACTTGGCTGTAGTTTTCCTGAGGATCCTCTCTTGCCAAAATGCAGTGTGATTTGAGGATGAAAACTGATCAGTGCAGGCCTCCCACCATGTTGTGACGCTTTAAAATAATGAGGATTAATGTGTGAGCAGGAATAAAAACTCTCAGATGGCATGACAGTGCGGGAACGCAGTCCTTGGGGACGAGCTATAGTGCCGCTCACGGTACTCCCGTATCTGTTCCTCGTCTTCTTAACATCTCCACTTACACAAAAGGGTTAGTTATGCTAATGACCGATTGAAGGGTACGGTTACCAAAGTTTGCCTATGGGAATAGAGCCGTCGAATTTCCAAGTGTTTAAAGCCTAGCCAATGTGATTCGGTCGACAGACCACGATGTCCGTAGCCCCTTTAGGAGGCAAAGGAGGATCGCCAGAAGGGCAACGTAGCGCTAGCCCGAAGCAGCAGTAAATGAAGAAAGAAAATAGCATGCCTGGACGGCGGCTTCACACCACTAGTGTGGATCAGTGATGAATTAAGTAGCCATTTCAAGTACCAAACAAAAATATAAGTAAAAGAGAGCTAACTCTGTTCTGGTCCCGCGGCATAGCCAAAATCCTCCATGGCAATCCTCGGACAAATACCGGATTGCTGAGTCTCTGATGCGTTTCGGACGAGCCACGTGCGAAATCGCTGAAGTGATCGATATCCAAATGAAGCATGCCCTCCGACTTATATGGATCTGCAAAAAAAAAACTGGCCATAATTTAAAAACATGTACAGCACCGTGCATTTTTTCCCTGTTGCACATAATTTTCTTCCAGAAAGATCTAGGCAATGCCCGAATTTGTTCATAAAATGACATGTAGCCGATCTTTTCAAAAAACGATACACAAAAAAGAAACAGACCATCCTCTTCACTTTCTCCGGCCATTGGGGACTGTTGTCCTGAAAAAAAGATGAAAGAAATTCACATCTCAGGCAATAACACAGGGGCTATTACAGTAGCAAATTGAAGCCAACATTCTCGGGTGATGAATGAAACCCCCTCCCCGAAGAAACGAAATGTGATGCCGACCTCCGTTCGAATCCGTTGTGTCCATAATTTCCTCCTGAATCATGCGCTGCGTTGGTGCTCTAACATAAGCCACTCGAACACGCGCATTCTCCTTATTCTCCTGCTAAATAATAAAATTTCAGAATTTCTTTTTTTTCGCCTGGAAATGAGCTCACCATTCCTCAGCTCAATCAGCCTTTATTCTCCACCGACCTAATTTTCTTTTTGGACCGAAACGTCTTATCTCACTCCTACCTTCTCTTTTCCCACAATGTTCTTTCATGCTGTAATCTGTCGCTTCCTTTGCCATTTAGGCTTCTAGGGTCAACCTGGTTGCTACAATATGCTTAAGCTTTATCTATTCAAAAAAAAAAAACAGCTTACAGGTGCATGACATTCCAGAGCCGCCGTGCTATAACGCTTGGAACTTTCGGGGGTTTCAGCTCGACAATTTAGAACTGTATTCAAATGGTTCTTAATTTTTGTTACATTCGGGATTCGCTTTACCCGTCAGATGATGGTCAACATGCTGGACAGTGTGCGGCAAAATCGAGGGCAAGAGCCCGGCAGGTGACGATAAGTTAGTTATCAAAGAAAAAGAAAGCAATAGAGCGGAAACCTACTGCATAACTCACGGGCCATTCAAGTACAGTGGTGCTCATCATGATGATACGGCACCCAAACGATCGGCTCTTTTCTCTCTCTCCTAATGCGAGCTACAGAAATGATGGTGCTGGCGCGAACAACAACAACAACTCACTTCTTCGGCCACACAAATGCCCAGATCACTGTCATCCTCTACATCGTTGCCTCTTATTTCTCGAACATGATCTCCTCTGCCCAGGTCGTTTGTCATCTGAAAAAAGAAGAACGTGAGTGTCCACACACCCATACATACACACACACACACACACACACACACACAC